CCTGCGTCACCTCCTGGCCGCGCGCCCCCCGGGCCACCCCGGAGCTGCGCACAGCCGCAAGCAGCGCCAGCCCGCCCGCCTGCAGCTGCCTGAGCCCCCCGTGCTCCCCAAGCCCGAGGCGACTGATGCCGACCTGGCCCTCCCCGTGCCTCCGGACGATGGGGGCGATGAGGACGAGGAGGAGACTGAGGAGGAGACGGATGGCGAGGACGGAGAAGGGGGTGGCAGTGGCCCTGGAGAAGGTCAGGCTCCTTCTGTCTACCCTGACTGCCCTGCCGGCTTTCTTGGCGGCACCACCATCACCACCACCGCCGCCACCACCACCACCACCACCGAGAGCACCCGCGAAGACACCCCGGCGGGGCTCCCCGACTTCACTGGGAGGGACTTCCTCCGGGGGGCTGCCGCCGAGGATGTGATGTCTGACGGCTACCTTTCCACCTGGCGCGACGAGGATGGGACCGCTGCCGCTGAGAGCTGTCCTCCTGGCTGTCCCCCCGAGACTCCCAACCCTGCTCCTCCACCCGACTGCGTCCTGGCCGGTGCCCGTCCGCCTGGCGTCAAAACCCCTGGCCCCCCCAGCACGCTCTTCCCCTTCCACCTGGGGGCTCCCGGGCCGCCCGCACCCTCGGGGCCGGCATCGGCGCCCCCACCCACCTTCTTCCCACTCCAGCCTGACCCTCCTCCAAGCACACAGCTAGGAGAGGCCTCGGCCCCACCCACTGCCCCCGCGCCAGCCCCTGGCCCCGCCGCCCGCACCTCAGGGACGGAGACGTCCGCTTACGAGTGCACCCATTGCCGCAAGACGTTCAGCTCACGGAAGAACTACACCAAGCACATGTTCATCCACTCCGGTGAGTCACTGCCCTGAGGTCAGCCTGCCCAGCTCCGGGACTGCCTGAGTGTGCGCGTGCCCCTGCTCTCTGATTTCTAAGGGGAGGAGTTGGGCTGTGGGGTGCATGGAGCAGGGGCACAGGCGTAGTTTGCCCCTCTGGATGGTGAGGTCACCATCCACAGCAGAAAAGGCTGCCACGTGGCTCTCAGACTTGGCTGGCCTCTTGTCTTTTTGGTGACCACCCCTCTAGGGGCTTGGCAGTTGGCCCCAAATGAGGGGCTTGTGGGCAGACTGAATTGTGAGAAGCAGACTACTGAGCGTTCAGTCTTGACGTGAATTTATGGGTGGGTGTCTCGAGGCTGAGTGTGAGCAGCGAGTACCCACCCAAGGAGTTTAGAAAGGAGATGGAGCCGTGGTTGTGTGTCGGAACCCATGGTGACAGGGCTTAGCCCTTGGCAGACTTGGCCTTGGTAGGGCTCGGGGACCAGGCAGCTGACTGAACTCTCTGATGACAGCAGACCAGCGGATGAAGGTGGGCTGACGATCTAGCACAGCCAGGGTTAGATTAGAGCCTCCGGAGTTCTGGGCCAGGAGGGACGTGGAAGGCTGCAAGGTGGAGAGAGAGAGGGAAGAAGGAGCTTTGTGGAAACCAGAGCAAGGCCCCTCCGACAGACGGGCAGTCAGGACACTGGACAGAGGCTCGGAGGGGAGACTGCAGGGTGTCTGCGGCACCTCGGACAGACGGGCAGTCAGGACACTGGA